ACGTTTTCAAGGGGCGGTCAAGCTTAAAGGTGATATCGGCTTGGAGAGTGAACTACGGTTTAGAATCGGCTTAAGGATAGGTTGGCTATTAATTTGGGTGGTAAATAAACAACTTGAACTCTACTTCTTCTGCTCACGACGCGCGTTCCCCTCCCATCTTCTCCGGGCAATTGATTTGGCTTCCCCGGCGGGTCAAGACACGCGTGTTCCAAGGAAATTGAAGACCCGTTTTAAATTGTTGGCCAAGATCGAAAAGAGCGATCTCGAGATATCTGGCCCGGATTGATCAAGTACTCACTCTCAGCTCAACTGCTAGGGTAGCAGCAAACAGCGGTAAAGGAAGAGGATTTTGGTTACAAGATCGCGAGACGGCTCAAGTGGTCAGAAGATCTGGACAAGGCGTTCAAGACAAGACCTAGCAAGATCGAAGCGATCCACTAGACAGATCGGCGTGTTTCACTTTGGCGAAACCAAGGACCGATCTGCCCAAATTGCGCACTTCCAGCAAGATCGGCCGATCCCAAGACCAGATCGGACCGATCCCAAGGCAAGATCGACGCAGGACTATTATTTGCTAAGTGAAGATTTCCGCACAGCAAAGACCCCGATCCCGAACACAAATCGAGATCGGTGTGATCCAAGATCAAGACCGCCACATCTCCTAATAGAGATTGCCGCTACTCAAGATCAGGATCGCAGAACCCCTGTTCGTGGTGTGAAGATTTTCGCACCGGAAGTAAACCCTCAACTCAACCTCTCAGCGAGATCGACGTCTCCCAAGGCCATTACAAAGAGCTTAAGCCAGCCCAACCGACGGGTACACAAGGTGAGCACAAGGCTACACAACAAGACACGGATCGGAGTACCCCCTCCTTGAGTCGTCAAGTCTGGGCAAGTGGAAGGTCGACCCTCACACAAGCGATTTTGTGAGATCGACTTCACCACAGTAGCGCGGACTGTTTTGTATGGGTGTCGTCGGTCGTCATCGTTACTCAATGTACCTGACTTTTAAAGTATCCAGTTGCTACATATAAAATGACTTTTCTGCATGTACTTAAAAGTACGAAGATATTTAATTTTGCACTATACGCATTTGAAACATTACGTTAGCAGTAAGCCCGTGAAATCTTCTTCAGGAGTTAAGGTGATCTATGCCAAAAACGCAGTCTAAAATGTGCTCCGTTATGTGTATATTTAAGTGATAAATATACAGTACGTCCAACAAAATAGCAAGCACGCATTTGTCACTGCATACGAGGGAGGGTGAGCAAAATTTATGCTGTTGGCATCCCAACAGGCCGAGCGTGACAGCATGCAGTGATGCGATAGCTTTCCACTGCTTTAATTGCACTTTGAAGACTTTACCAAATGCAAACAACGTCTCAACATAAAATTAGTCTTTTAATGTTGACTGGTCAATCTGCGTATATCTATGCTGCCATACAAATCGTTTGCTACATGCGGTATATTTAGCGGCGCAATAGGGGCACAAGTCTGGCGAACATATCGCTCTTAAACATTCTTGAGTTGGCATAGCGACGGCTAAGGTTACGGGTATATGCCACCTTATATTAGAAATGTATCAAACGATGAAAAGTAGCGAGACGGGGTTTCGAAGATGCTGAGATCGATCATGCGAAGGCCTAATTTGATTGTCTGCTCTTTTGTCACAAGTGAAGGCATGGATCCGTTCAGATTGTCTATGGTAGTTATTGCGAGCCCGAAGGATAAAAACACAGCGGATCTACCCTAACCTCTTTGTTAAAGAAAGATTTCTGGACTCGTCTATACTCTCAGTAAACCAAACTAAGCGAGTATCAACTTACCGCGTCTCAAGTCTTACAGACTTGGTGAGACTTAACTCTTAAGTGTGTGTACAAGCTTTTAAACTTCTAGTTCTGATTCAGGGACTACGATTACAAGGAATCACGTGGCAAAATGTCCAAGAGTACTAAGCCTTAATCTAGGCACCTAATTCGTACGACTAGAGACGTCTTAGAATTCACGTGTCTGAAACTGATCAATAGGGGAACTCAATGTACTTACAGATTTATAGCGAAGATAAACCTTACTTTCGACTATAAACTATGTTGCCTAATATAATAGTCATCATCGTAGTTCTTCTTGTGTTCCACACCTGAATTACATCGCCTCTATGAATACCCTGTTACGATAGATATCCGCATTCATAATTAATGAGATACAGTATTATCGCTAAGCGCATAAGATAAAAAAGTACGCATTATCAGCGACATGATTTCTTTCTGTGTGTACCATACCAACGTACCTGGTTATCACAACCGTTTGTGTAACCCCGTTACAGTGAATCGATCAGTGGGTGTGCGCAAAGTTTCATGCTGATCATTTAAATCGTACTTATTTGTCTGTGTGTGTCTGTGTTTGTCGGTGTGTGTTTCCGTCTGCCTGTAAATAACGTGGTTAGGTTACCTTGCTCGCACTGAATATGATCCAGCCTGTCCCCCCTCATAGGTTGATAGCATGACACTCTATGGCTAGACAATATTGTGATGCACGCCCCTGATTGGCTGATAATTGTTTTAGGTGAAGATGATCACATTAGCAAATGCTGGACGCTCAAAAGCAAAGGCCGATCGCCTTGCCCGAGTTTCCTGTTCTGGACTAATACCGACATTAACAGCATTATACTCATTCCTCAGTGTCTGCTGTAATATATTGTTTTGCAACTTTATTCAGTTCTCCTCGCTGAATTACTTATATTAAGAGGCGAGTCCATTCAGCACCGCGCATTGCGACAAGGATCCGACCGACCTGTCGATGAGAAAATTCATAACGGCACAGGTTAGAAACAGCGCCGATTGTCTTCAACTGTCACGCCGAAATCAGCGTTCAATTCACTACTAAATTGAGACTTTACCCGCATGCAATTCGCGTCTATTGCAAGTAGGGTAACTTTTTGCTCATGTGGTTCATTTCTCGGGAGGATAGGCCGCACTGTAGCAACTGACGAGCATCAAGTCCTACTCAAGATAATACATACGTTGCTGTACCAGAGCGCTCAAATGTCTTTTTGTCCTCAAGACAAGTTATCCTAGCTCTAGACTGCTTCGCAAGACAACGACATAACACAGTACCGTGTGCAATCTGTCTAATGCTGACACCGACCTTAGTGGTCGAGTGGTAGACCGCTGGAACTGGGACCGGGAGGTCCCTGGATCGATACCCGGTGGGGGTTCGAATACAGGTCGCCGGAGATAGGCCGATATAAAAGCCCCATAGTGTAATGAGGGGTGCGGGTCCTGTAAGGAGTTCAAACTGAGTCAGAGTACTCGCAGTTCACCCCAGGGTGGTCTGAAGGACCGCGCGGCATAAATCTCTGTCTGATGCTGACATCGACATCTTGTGACAAGATCGGAGCGCTAACGCACGGACCCTAATGCAAGAACACTGCTGTGACCAATCGTTTCAGCAATGCGCATTTTACGTATAGACACGACAAGTACGTACAAGCGACGTGCTCTATCCTATCCTGTTCGTGCGAACGCCTCGTTCAAACATGTACATACCCACAGTGTGTCAAATTGAGTCTTAACACGGTGCACGTCGTCGCATTAGTGGGGCTTGAAACTGGGACTTGCTCTCGATTAAAACGTTATGGCCAAGACACAAGTCAACGATCTAGGCAGTGATTTGTGGCGCGCACCCATGTTGCTGCGAGCTCGATGATGAAGATTCGGCTCGAGACCGCAAACACTTGAGGTACAACAAATGCACTCGTTGCGATATCGTCTGCTACCCTTCTGTAACAAAGCTTTTTGCATCATGACGATTTGGTGGTAGAGGGAGAGCTACGCAAGCAAGAACGCACCTTAAAAATCGGAGAATGCAGAAGATTCGGGTAGCTTGCCCAGTCACCCATCGCCTTGGGTGCAGCGAAAGCAACATAGAATTCAGCACACCGCAAAAGATCCATTTCGTCTGAAGCTAATCCTCGAGAACGGGACTACATCACACGCGCCACTCAGGACACTTGCGTGAAGGGCATGCCACGCAGCTTTCGAAGGCTCCTAATGCCTTTTTGAGATCATTGACGTCGTCGCTGCGCCTCCTACTTGACCATATACAGATCAAGCTCTACAGTCCATATACAGATCAAGCTCTACAGTCCATCCATGATCAATCTTTTCGAACAAAGACAAAAAGCACACTACTTCAATTCGCACGACTGCTTCTGAATTCGGCGTGCCATTGGCTCGAGTACTACGTGCAAGTGATCTCTACAATCAACGATCGTCGCAACCTCTTCATTCTACGTGGAAGTCGCGTGTGTGTTGTATCGGGGTTCCGGCAAGCACAGCTAAAAGAACACAGGGTAAACACCACAACAGGACACCTGATACCCATGACCAAGAACCGGGAAGAATCGTCGCTGTCGCCAGCAACGTTGTTCATGCTTATTGAAACGAGGTACGTAGAAAACATGCTATTTCGACCGGGACGAATGGATAGCCACGAAGCTCAAAACATGGCCGCTACAATATCCGCCTACACGCGGTCGTAGAGATCCGAGCTAAGAAGTTCATTGTGCACACACAATACACACAGTCAGGCAGTCATTGACGAAGTAGCAACAACACACTCAGTCATCAAAGCCGTTCGATTCTCTGCTTTCAATCGAACAACGTTCGTTCGAACCGTGCATAAGAAAAGCAGCTACTTTCACAACAGTCACAAACCGAGGCGTGCAGTGCACCTGGAGCTCAAGCGTCTACAGCAGACAGACGTACTATACGAACATCGAAGCAGTGACGTTCAGTGTGGAATCGCAAACCAAGTAAGTAGGAACACGGAACTAAAGTGATCCCAAAGACACGGATCCCGACCCAAGCATTCGTCGCCATACGACATACGTGCAGTCCAATCTGCCCTTCCACCGATGTCATGCTTTGTCCACTTCATCCGCTACTCCAATCATTCCCCAACTTCCTCCTCACCCCTCGCTACTCCTTCACACCATTGTCATGATCCAGCTCGATACCGACAAAAGTCTGCCGCAAAAGGAGCTCGACTCTCCTAGCGTCGCTCCGAGTCGTTCCGTATCAGAGCCCGAACCTTCCATCCCTCTTCGCTCCACAGTTCTCCAGTCTCGTCCTTGGCTCGGGTGGCTCGCCGTTTACACCTTCGTGCTGCTCGTGTTCTTCTTCTATCGCCAGTATTCAATGACGGCTTTGATTTCCATGTACGCAACGGCCAAAGACGCGACGTTCCTCGTCGTGCTGGCAACGCTGACACTCGGCTTCATCGAGGACTTTGTCTGTGCCACGTACTTCACCAGTACGTTGTGGCTCTTTGACGTGTTTGTGCTGTACGTGAAGAGTCAGCACAGCAGGAGCACTTCAAATGACACTGTGGACGCCCCGCTCCCCCAAGTCGGTAGCAAAATCACCACGTTTGCCGTCTCGTGGCTAATGTACGTGGCAATGGTGATCCCATTCTGGACCGACTTACTGCTCGTGCGATTACGGGGTATGCGCTTCACCTTTGCGCTTGTATCAATGGCAATCAGTGAGAAGGACAACATCAGTGCCGTGCCCATCTCCAGCGACGAGTGGACCGAAGGGTACGTGCACGCAGGTGTCCTTCTACTCCTAACTACGTCATTTGCAAGCATCCGGACGTGGACGTCGTGGATGAATCTGGCATCCTGGTCCCCCACTCACCTTCTTGATTGCTCATCCCGTCAAGACCTACCACAAGTCGAGACTCCAGACGACAATAGCGTGGACAAACCCAACACGGATGGAGCAGTAGGGGCTCAAAGTCCGAAACCCGTGACGTTCAAGAAAGCACTTCCCCTTGAAGATGACGCGACACCTCGTTATATGGTCGTCCAGGTTGTTGAGACTGCTGACAATGGAGAGACCGAAGAGTCCAAGATGTTGGGTGATGGGATCGAGCTTCCATGTCGAAGACTTGAGCGAAGTTCGTACCTGAAACAAGGCGTTGCAGTGGTGCTTAGTCTGCTGCTTCTGCCGGTTATGGCAGTGATCGCTGCTTACACGACTTCCCCGCTCGTTGCCTACTCGGCGCTAAACACTTCGTTAAATGAGCTATTGGGGGGAGTGTTGCAACCCACGCTGCCGGACTTGAATGTCAGTCTACCGTGGCCCGAGAAATTCATCCACCTTGAAACGGAGGACTACACGCTATTTGGCAGCAACTCGCTGTATCGACGAACAACGGGGTTCCACGGAGATCTCGCGTTCGACGTCAATGTCTCGCCTGACGATCCGCCTAATGTCCTCGTGCTCGTCGTCGAGTCGTTCCGGTTTCACGATTCTCGCTACCTCGTTGGAGACGAAGACCCATCGAACTTGTTTCGAGGGACGAACCTAACGATCACCCCCAACTTTGATCGATGGGCCAAGCGCGGCGTGGCACTGCGTAACTTTTGGTCGAGTTGGCGCACGAGTCGATCCGTGGAGAGCATCCTGTTCGGACAGCTTCCCTATGACAGCACGACCGAGTCTGGCATGACCGGAGGAAGGAACGACACGAAGCTCTCTGGGTTGCCACAACTCTTCACGGCGAAAGGGTACGAGACGTTCTTCACCACTGGATGCACAACCGATTACGACGCCTGGGATCTCTTTCTCCCATCGCACGGGTTTGACACGGTTTGGGGTCGTGGTGAAATGATGGAGCTAGCAGAACGAGACTTGGGCATCAAGTCGGACGAGTGGTTCGGCGCCGAACATCGCAGTCTCAGCTGGGGAGTACACGACGACTTGAGCTTCGAGCTGCTGGGGAATTTAATGATCAACAAGACGAAAGAGCAAAGCGAGCGACGCGTCGACAAGAAGCTTAAGAAGCCGCTCTTTCTCACGCATTACACGATTTCTAGTCACATGGACTTCAAGCAACGTCCACGATGGTTTGACGAAGCTGCGAAGCCCAATTTCTCAGCTCTGTACGAAGGACAGGAGTACGCAGACAACATCCAAAACTACCAGGAGATCCGGTACTTCACCGACATGGAGCTTGGAAAGTTCATGGACCGCATGGAAGAGGAGGGAATTCTAAACGATACCATTGTCGTGATCGTAGGCGACCATGGACAAGGACCTGAGTTTGGCAACAACGTTCCTGAGGATCGAGACGTATCGGCGACTCGAGTAGCTGGCACCATTATCGCTGAAGGGCGAATGGCTGAAGCAGCTGGGCTTGTCATTGATGATGCTACCGAACAGTACGATATCTTGAATACGCTTGCAGACATCACTGGCCTACCTGAAGGAGGGTTCGTTCAGGACGGAGTAGGTCGTTCTTTGAAGCGCAAGGTCAAGTTTGGAGAGAGGATCGTGTACAGCAATAATCCCACACGGAAGATGTCGATTGTTCGCGGCCATGAACGACTTCGGTATGACCGCGTGACGGACTCGGTGCTGCTTCATAACGCAGATACTGATCATGACATGAAGGTTGATCTGTTCCCCGACCTTGCCGCGAAGGAACAAGCGGAATGGCTGCGCAGACGTGATGAAGGACGTCGGATCAACGAGTACTTTACAAAGCGCTGGGACAACAAATGTCTGCTTACCTCTGAGTGCGACGGTACTGCTAGCACCGCAGAATAAGTGGTGGAGAAGTCTCAGCGCCATGTTATTCATTCAAATAGCTACATGTAGCACTTGATCCTGGTCGCAGGTCTTCGTGTAGCTCCCCCGTTCTTCTAACCTGTTTGGTCAAGAATCTTATGGTTCTTCAAATGCACACAAGAGAAAAATATCGGTAGTGCACACGCGCTCGTACGACCTGCACACGATAACTATGAAGCGCTCTAGCTCAAATTACTCCTGCACAACTTCCAAACGAGCTTGCAATCTTCAGCTTCTGTGCAGCACATAACCACCGGTTTGTGTCGCAATTCGGTAGATTCATTCATGTCCTAAGGTGAACGCAGTTTAGCCAAAAGACTAGTATCATGGCGGTCATTTCGTTCGATATGACGACCAAGGAAACAAATGTCCTGTCCTCAAGCACTTCGTTATCATTCAGGGAGTTGGTTGTTACTCGCATGCTAATCAATAGTTAAAAATCGTATCCAGAAGGACACGTTTCGACGGTCTCTGAGCGTGTCTGATCCCACAGTGAAGGCGATGACATTCCGTCGCCTTCTTGCGTCCGGTCCCTCCTCTAACCGTATATTTACCTTTCCGCTCACACATCAGTGTCGTTTAGGCAGCTCGTCGGCGACCATGACGCATGACCTTCAGTTGAAATGAGCAGGTAGATGGCAGTTGCAGTTGAATGGAAATTGGATGGCAGTTGGTGAGTGCTAGTGACAGTTGGTTCTCTCAAAGTATGCGGGATCTAGTGCTGAAGATGGATCGCAAGCATAGTCCCAGATTGGACTGGTCCCCGGCATCATTTCACAGAGGCACGTAAGATAGGACAGTCGGACTTGCATGTACAAAATGAACCTCAGTTCCAAACCAGCGTCGTCTAAGTCAACTGTCCTCATTCCAACGCATTCGCCCTGAAAAGCGTGGCATATCCCCTCTTTTTACGGAGGAAGAATGTTGCGTACTCTTTAAACGACTCTCGACCGTCTTGTTCCCTCCGGACACTACCTCCTACAATGACGCGGACAATATGTTAGTGTCCACCGCAATGGATGTGCTTTGCCCAAATCCGAAATCGGCTGCACAGCCGTCGAGTAATCTTTTCCATTTGGTGTCTCGACGACTTGTGCAATGTACATGGTGATGCACCGTGGTTATTGGCTGTGTTGCAATCGTAGCTGGAGAAATGGCTGCCATATTGCACATATTGGATACGTGATGCCACGCGTGCAGAATTCGCTAGTCGTCTGTATGTTTGATGTAGCAGAGTTGCAGCCCGAGCCACAGGTGGTTGTTTTGATTTGATGCATATCTCCACGGTTGCCCCTGTAAGCAATAGTTTCCCTGAGTGGACCGACTCACCGTGTCCGAAAAGAATTATTCGGTACGTTGCTTTCAGTGTCCACCCCGTTCGGATACAAAGGTACCCAGCTTCGTATTTGTAGCACGCCTGGTCGAGAAACCACTCTGGTCAGGATAGCCCAGCCTTCTCCAACCGGAACTTGTAGTCCCAGGGTAAATTTTAGAAAGGAAAACACGAACTTGTGACAAGCGCGGCAAGCCAGGACATTTGAAACGTAAAAAAAAGGAAGCTGCTGTGAAAAATCAACTGAGCCACGCATATACTTGCGAAGAAACCAAAGAAGAAGGCGAGGTCGGAGATGGTCGATGAGCAAAATTAAATCTGTGATCGTCAAACTGAAGCATGTGGTTTCGCAATAGAAAAGGATGACGATGCTAACAGCCAAGGCTTTAAGGCGCATGAGGTGAAGTTGGAGCTAAGTCCTCGGGAAGATGGAACACAGACAGGTACAGGCACCTAGTATTTTGGCACAGGTGCAAATGTTATGTGCCAAGCAGACGATTTTGCTGTTTACAATTCGATCTCACCTGTTTCAAAGGTCAGCCTCGCGGGTCGACAGCACTCATGTAGGAGTGACTGGAATGAGTACAATTATAAATGGGAACATCGGCTAATGGAAAGAACACTGTTGTCTGCTTGAAGACGAGTTACATGTCCCAGGTGCGAAACATGGACTCTTCTCGCCAGGAAAGGCACTAAAACATGAGATACAGTGACAATGGATACGTCAAGCAAGGGTGGGCTACATGGTCTACTATCGTATGCAACTAATGTTCCGAGTAGAATACCATAATGGAATGTGGAGGTTCTCGACACACTGACCACGAAGCGCGACGCCAATTCTTAACGCAAGTAAGCTAGAGTATAATCAGGAAAGTGAATGTCATGTGGAAACCGCAGTAGTTGAATCTCTTGTGGTGGAAGAATTATTACCTCAAGTAAAAGCAAATCATTTAAGAGCAGATGGAGAGGCTCCCATGACTCTTTGGCACACGCGTCTTGGCCATGTTTGTGAACAGCATTTATGGTGAATCAAACTTGTGTTCACGGAATAATTTAGCAGGAAAAAAAATCCGCCAACCAAAGCATGCTACTTTGGAAAGCAGCGGCGTCGCCGCCGACACAAAAATACGATGCACAATCTCACAAGTTCTAAATCATGTGGTATGTCCTGATCTGATGTTCCCAACGAAACACAATAGCTTCAAGTATGCCGCGATCCTCGCAATTATGTATGTAGAAATATTTAAAATACTTGACAGCCTATGTTTTAATGAACAAGTAAGCCGAGACATGAACTTGTTGATGATAAATACATTATTTACATTATTTCGGCCCAGCGCCAGGCTTGGCATAGCATTCAGAATTTTTTCATCGGCAATGATACATCATGGAAGAATACCGTACTCTACCGGCAACACGAGTGCTTACGGATAAAGGTGGTAAGTTTGTCAACCGCGAAATTGACACGTGATGTGAAGCACGTGAAATTTAGCATGTGAAAATAGGACCGAAGAGCTCTCACATTAATTTAGTGGAGATCAGCACCGATCTTTAGGTGACATGGCCACGACAATGCTTCGCGAATCTCCTTTTTATCCAGGTTATAGTCCGATGCCTTTGAATATGTTTTATACCTGAAAAATCAATTTTGTAACAAGATAGCGAGATACACACCGCACGAACGCATGTTCTGGTGTCGAACCAGATTTTTAAATCCGAGTGTTTGAGGCACGTGTGTAAATTCATGTGCAGCGTGGTCCAGAACGGCCAAGGCATAAAGATAATGCAAAAATTGGATATGCACTCGGACTTACAGATGACCAGGTGGGGTATAAACTTTACTATACTCAAGATAATAACCGGAAGTGGGCACCGAACGTAAACATCGATGATTCCATTGTGTACCTCGATCATCAACGGTGTAGTATCTGTGTGGATCTACTGAACAGCCTTCGCTTTAGTACTTACGACTTCAACGATGAAGAAAATGGTCGCGCTTTATCCTCAGTGGATGATGATGAAACCTTGAATTTAGTTCTTGAAGAGAACGCAGCAACTGGTTTCGATACATCAGTCATGGGAGATGTCACTGGTGATCAGATAGGCGTAACCTTGGTGGGTAGTTGGCTGAATCAACATGCCACGACAGACAACAATGAAGCAGTCGTCCAGAGCTCGATAAATGTCTCCATAAAACAACAGTTAATTCTTATGATGAGCAGCAATTGCGCGATTCAAAAGATTCGGGAAGTACTGATGTTGAAGTGGATTCTATGAAATGCAAGCAGTCGCGTTAGTTAATCTACGTTCGGAGACGTACTTAGTGCTTAAAACACTCTGGACAAATCGAACGAGCACATTGCTCATAGCATTACAGTCGTCACTGGTGTGGGTAAAGAAGAGCAAAAATAGTCAGCAGCATGGTGATGAATCAGCCAATAGCGTCGACGGTGAATCGAAGAAGTGTCGACAACGCGCCGGTCTGAGAGAGGCGTATACGCGACACAATCAAATCGATATGAGGACTTCGTAGCTTATACCGCACGCGAAAGGATGCTAGACAGGTCGAACAGAGCTAAAAGTGCGAGTGACGTATCGTTTCAACGAAACAGCGAAGACGCTGGACGTTCCAAATATGCATATTTATGACGAAAAGATTAGCGTGAAGAAATGGATGGTATGCAGGATAAGAAAGTGCTAAAGGGATTCCTGGACATGATATCCCGCCAGAAGCCAGATTGATAAAAGCCATTTGGGTACAGGCGATTAAAAGGACCAACATGAATTTGTAGTTTGACTTGAAGCACATTTGGTCGCCCTTGAGACTTGGCAGAGGCCTGTTCTCAACTTTGCGGAGACATTCCCTCCAGTGGCACGTATGCCAAGCTTTAGGAGTGCCCTGGCAACAGCTGCAAAGACCGGTCTGTTGGTGTATGGTGGTGATATTTACACCGCGTACATCAAGGCGACTTTGAAGATTCCACAGTATCTGAAAACATTGATGAATGTCTATGTAAGCACAAGGACCGTATGTATGTGGTATGCAAGGCGTTATAAAGCCTACCTTAGACTAAGCGTGAGTGGAGTGATGAGTTTATCAAACTGATGACTGCGAACATGTTTTGAAGGTACTCAACGGGACCCCTTGTCAATACTGCCGTCATATCCCGGATCGAACTATAATACTGGTGCTGGTAGCCGTCGACAATTAATTTTGTGCAACAAAAGTTTACCGGTTTGCAAAAGTTGCATTACAGTATAATATTGAAGATGAAGGACAACTTACGGAGTACTTTGGTGTCGAAGTTCTATCGAGCTAACAAGCATTGAGACCAGCCAAAGGAATACTCACGTGAAATGCTCAAGTGATTTAACATTGCACAAGCACATGCGGTCGGTAATCCTTTGGAGACAAAGAAGAACCGCGTGTGTGCAGATGACAAGGCTAAAATGGACAAAACATTTGTCTTTATGGTGCTGTAAGAAAGTCATTGTATATGGAAACGTGGTCCCGATCTTAATTAGCCTACACAGTGGGTTGTCTCAGTCGATTTGTGGCCTACATAACCAAACAACACGTTCGTTGTGTCAGACATGTTTTACGGTATCTTACCGGACACTAGTTTATGTGATCTTGTATCAAGCGTGCAGAAGATGTTGGTCACCTGAAATTCTTACTTCATGGATACTGCGATAGCGAATGGTCTTCAGGTGCTTCAAATCGCAAGAGTACGGGGAATTTCGTCTATCTGGTTGCAGATCGTGCCAATTTCGTGGTCTTCGAAGGGACAACCAGTCATAGCCTTGTTCTTAACCCTATATTCGCGGTATTGGAACAAATCGACGAGAGGTGACTTATTAACGCAGAAACGAGCGATGTGACTTGGCTTCAGGACCGCAGAGTCCAACCGTACAATCTCAATGGCGCTGTATTTAAGAAAGCTGCACAATATTTTTAGAAAGTTCTGTCACGGACTTGGCTTCGACGCGGTGTTGCGAATATTGAGCCAGTTCTCGATATGTTTACGGCATCTACCACCACGCGCAGAAATTTAAGTTCTTTCAGTTCGCTATCCTGTCAAACTTTCCTCAACTTCTGTTTCGCAATTTGAATCCAAAGTCATTGCTTACTTACACACTGAAGATACATCAAAGTCATGAATGGGTCATAAGCGATGGATGGCTCGACGGTCACCCATTTTGATGCAGGTATGCAATGTTTTCTACTTCCGATTCCTCAATGTTTGAGTGCGATCGCCGGCTACCACCAGCTGTGGAATACCCGTACACATTGGCGCCCTCCGAGGCTGACTCACGTCGTACACCTATGGACGGTCTCGAGTGGATGAAGACCCATATGAAAAGCTCTTGTAAGAGTACAACGCGTCGATTACAATTTCAAGAGTAAGAAGCCGTGATCAGCTGTCAGCGCGCCCCAAGTTTCGCGAGGGGTTAGAAGATACTGATTTGGTTGAGTGGAAATGCTCCGCCACATAAAAGCAACCTTTCCTACCGGAATTCACACGCTATATCGCCTGGGAGCAACAGCTTTTATTATATAACTTCTCCAGACAGGACCGGTCGTGTCTAATCAAGTTTGTGACCGATCACTCACAGCTCCAGAAAGTCACGTTTTTTACATGCCCAGGGGCACGGTGGTATTAGAATCACATATTGTCGTTGTGGCAGTGTCTTGGCACAATCGACATGGACACACGCAACATTTGATTGTTTTTTGTATGGGACTTCCCAGTACTCCAAATGTGGCTTGAGAAGCCGTGCAAGCTTCTCTCGCGGCTCCAAAAGACGTATCTGGATAAATGGCTGCGAAATTTTCCAGCCGCAAACGAGCTGTGTCGATTTGTTGTCACTCCGACGATTTATGGTATATGGACCGAGCGTCTCCGACAGATAAATTTTGAAGCCTTCAAATTGAAGCCCATACCGCGAGTGCCAGAGCTCAGCTCTGACCTGCAATCACAATATAGGAATTCGACGTACAAACCCGGAGCTGATGAAGTGAAAGATTATTTGGCCTACATGTGGTCAGCATTTGCTGACACGCTACCCAAGAACATCCTTGTCTCAACCGGCGTAAGCAAGACACAAATCCAGGTTCATTTTATCCCCTTTTTCGATGGGGGATAGTGAGGAAACCCAGGGCTCGATGGTTATGGATCTGTCATTGTAATGATGCATCCCAGATCTCAAGCGGCATGCGTTATCTGGATTGCGAGCATGGCCTACGGCTGAGCATCAACTACAAACAACTATGAGAGATAGCAAGGTCTATTGCTTGGTCTACGCCGGGCGAAAGCGAACAATTACATCTACTTACATGCTTCGAGATAGTGCCCTCATACTTTTCCAACTCCGATACCATCACTCACCACGAAATGTTCACTTGGCGATGGTCTTTCAAAGGCACAAAATCTAGCCAATGATATTGCGGTCGTCATCTAAGGGCATCACTACCGCACTTTAACAAGATGGCTGATCAAATGGCCGATTTCGCAATGGATTCCTGTACTTCGTTTCATGTGCACCTTCCGTCGATCCTCCAATCGTCAAGAAAGTTGCAATATTCTTCTACTCTGACATTGCTCACTGGCTCGAGAATTCTCACAACAAGATTTTCAATCCCCAAGGTCCCGCACGGACCTCAAAGGATATAGCCATCACAAGAATGTAACTTGCACAGCACACTGCAGCTATCCGAGGGCAAACACTTACTTAAGAAATATATTTAGTTGTCTACGTGGCACCTAGTTGCTAGCAGACCTGATATAGCGGGTCGTTCCTGTGCCTGAATATACATCATCTTTTTTACTCACTCACCAATCACAGTATTGATATCGGCCGAAGCTGCATATGTGGCGGCATGTGAAGCTACGATGAAAGAAGTTGGAAAGCAAAATTCTCTGAGTAAGATATTGCCTTCCATTCCTGTTTGAGTACGCGTTGGTATCGAAGTTCAGTCAAATGGATATGCGATGTCCACAGACCCAACCTATTTTTGACGGAAGAGACATTTCGAGCTTCGCCATTTCTTTTTCTGTGAACAGGTGAGACCGAAGAGTGCTTGAGAAGGAAAGATATAAGAATATTAAGGTACGTGTACGACCTACTCTACTAGAAAAAAATAGTGGTCGTCACGGTCACTTTGTTGCCGAGTAAATCCTGTCACCCGGCGAAAAAGTGACCGTGGCGACCGCTATATTCTATACTAGGTAGTACTAGTCCTTGGGCATTAGAGCAACCAAACGCAAACTCCCGCCTCAAGATAATTATGTTCCTCAGGGTCAGCACAGGGCCCTGTATTTACTGTTGTTCGGCCACGAGATCTCCAGCCAATGTGTGATATGAGAATCAAGGAAGATCGTAGCCTCCTGAATCAGACCTGTGTTAAACAGAGCGTGCGCCTGCATAGAAGCTCCTGTGTCCATTCGATATTCGCCAGTCGATCCGTCATTCGTTTCGGGTGCGATAACAATGTCCCCAGCTATAGACGTTAATGTCGTTAGCGATTAGGCTTGCTTCGAAATAAACCGCAGCAAGTGCTGCTTATGTAAAGGTGTAGGAAAGGTGCGTGTTGCGAGAAGGAAGCGTTAGGTGAACAGTAAGATTCTGTCGTATTTCCTTACTATGTCTCTCTTCTCTGCCAAGCTCGCCAAAGCCCTCTGCTCCACTCATCCATCTCACACGCATTCTGGCTCTACTCGGATCACTATCCTGCTTGTCACTCTGCATCCACCTTTTACGCACAGCGAGTTTGTGACATCAGGTTCCCAAATAAACCCCAAGTCACCGGCCGAACACTCCGATCACCGTTACGTACCCTTGCACCCATATCCAACATTCCAACACTCCTCCTCGGTCGTGACTTGCCCTCATATTAGCTCCATTTCTTGAGCTTGCAAATGTCCTGGTCCTTGTGATCCTCGATCCTTGAGCTCCTTGATCGCCCTTGATCGTCCTTGGCCTTTTCTTAATCAATGCGCACGAGTGCGCGCAGTGTCGAGAGCTTCGTCGCGTCCAACGCCTTCGTGAGGATGTCTGCGAGCATCTGCTCCGATCTGACATAGCTCGCCGTGATGATGCCGCGACGCGAGTAGTCACAAAGGAACTTAAGGCGCACATCCACATGTTAAGCCTTCAGCACCGATGCCTCTCCCGCGATCTGCGCGATCGCCGCTTGGTTGTCCACCCGCAACTGCATCGGAAGCGCGGGCTCCACGCCCACTTCGCACAACATCTCGCGCAGGCCGAGCAGCTCGCGCGCGACTTCACTCGCCGCGACAAATTCCGCCTCCATCGTCGACAGGGAGACGCCTCCCTGCTTCCGCGCACCCCAGCTGACGGCCATCCCGTTCAGCATCACGATGCCGCCCGTCATTGACTTCCGGTCCGTCTTGTCGGCGGCAAAGTCGGCGTCGCTGAACTCTTCTAGTCGCATCGACGCACCAAATTGTCTTTTGGGATCATCATGACCTAGAGCACCGCCGAACCCTTGAGGTATCGCGTGATCCGTTTAGCCAACTTCCAATCTGCTAGTCGAGGCGCGTGGGCTCGTCTTGTGACCTTGTACACCGCAAACGCTACGTCAGGGCGCGTGCAACGCACCACCCAGAGCACCGAGCCGACCAGCGACTGAAACTGGCGCACAGTCGGTCCTAATTGCGCGCTTGGCGTCCCAAGAAGCTTTGCGTCGCCCTCCTCCAACTCGTAGCAGCTGCCGTCGATCGGCGTCCACGTCGAGTTGGCGTCAGCAAGTCCGTTGTAGCGTAGGAGGTCTCTTATGTCCTCCTCCTGATCGAGCGTGTACCCATTCTGACCGTTGTGCGTCACGCGCATTCCCAGGAACTTGCTGACACGCCCTAGGTCCTTGATCGACAACGACGCGAGGCTTGCAAAGAACCACTCGACCGCCGCCGCGCTCGTCCCTGTCGCTAGAAGATCGTCGACATACACGCCGACCACGACGAGGTCGTCGCCGTCGCGCTTCCAGTAGAAACACATGTCTCTCTCACACCGCGTGAAACCGGCAGTAGAGAGCTTCGAGTGCAGCAGCTGGCTCCACAGCCGGCCTGCCTGCTTGAGCCCGTAGAGGCTCTTCCGCAGCTCCAGCACCAGCTCGCTCGCGTTCGAAACGCCTTGCGCTTGTAGCGTCTCCTTCGAGACTGGCATGCCGCGCGGCATCTGTAGCTAGATGCGCAGGTGCGGCTCCTTGTCCGCTTCAACGTAGGCGTTGGGGATGTCACCGTGCTTGGCAGGCACCCCCCACGTAGCCGCAAGCGCCAGAATCACTTTGACCGTCGATAGGTCCATCACGGCAGCGAAGGTGAGCGTGTAGTCGACGCCAAGCACCTGTTCGTTGCCACACGCCACCAGTCGCGCTTTCAGCTGCTCGAGGTCGCCCTGCGCATCTGTCTTGGTCTTGCAGACCCATTTGGTGTGCAGCGCATGCTGACCTGCCGTTCGCCTTGTGATAGTTCAGACGTCGTTGGCCGCGAACGCGGCGATCTCCTCTTGCATCGCCTTCTCCCACCCTTCGCGCTTGCCGCTGCGCATCGCCTGTCCATAGATAAGCGGATCGTGCTCAAAAGCAGCATTTACGACTTCTCCGCTCACGGCTGTCTCCTCCTGACGAGCAGCCGCTTCTGCGAGTATCAACGCCCCGCGTGTTCCATGCGCCGCTCGCGTCCATCGCTTTCTGCTTTTACGCGTCTCCCTGTTGCCCTCTGCGCGACCAACGTTCGCCACTGCTGCTGCTGGCGCGTCCGTCTCCTCCTGGCCTCCGGCTCGATCGCCGACGTCCATCGCGCGCTGGATTTGCGCGTTGGGCGCCTCCGTCAATGTCTCGATATTCTTGATGTGCTTCGTGACGACCACTTTATTGTCACGCGGCAGCAGCACCTTGTAGCCCTTGGTTTCCTTGCTGACGCCGACAATGATGGCGCGCTCCAAGCGCTGCAGCAGCGAGTTCTTGCGCGGGTCTCTATGCACGCTGCACTGGGAGCCAAAAACGACAATTCCACGCAGATCCGGCGTCTTGCCCGTCAGCGCCCTGAGTGGTGACGCTCTCTTTGCGTTTGCTCGCGTAGGACTCCGGTTGAAGATGTGAACGGCGAATAGTACCGCGTCTCCCCAGAACATCAGGGGTAGCGCGCAGGCAAACATCATGCTGCTCGCAAGATTCAGCACTGTCCGGTGCATTCGTTCCGCCTTGTCGTTTGAGGCCTGATTGCGCGCCTCCGACACTTGGCGCGCGACGCCCGTGCGCTCGCAGAACAGGTCCACGTTGGCGTATTCTCTGCCGCCGTCCGTGCGGAGCACGTGGACCTTGAACCCGAAAAGCTTCTCGAAGTGGACGAGGAACGCCTCGAACTGCTTTGCCGCAGCGTCCTTCGTGCGCGCGAGGAAGACTCGGCAGTAGTTGCTCTTACGATCAACGAAGTTCACAAGGTAACAATTGCCGAGTAGGTCCCGCGGCGTCATTGGACCCTTCAGGTCCGAGCAGATGACGCCGCCGATGCGATCGATGAGCGAGTGCTTGCCGCTGTCTAGATGGGACTGCGCGTTGCGCGTCTGCTTGCCCTCGAGGCACGACACGCACGCCATACGTTTGTTGTTGCTGAGCCGAATGTCCGATGCCGGATCGCGCGCCATGCGTTCGATCGTGTCGAACGCAAGGTGGCCGAGTCGCTGGTGCCAGTGCAACAGCGAGGCTTCTTGCGGCTCGTCGGCGTTGGTTTACGTTGCATGCGCTTCGAGCGCCGCCATGATCGCGTCTCCGCCTGCACCTTCCTTGTCGCGCGTGGCCTTCGTCACGACATACAGCACGTTGCTGTCGATTGTGACATCGAACGCGACCGCACCATCTCTGCACCGAGCGAGCAAGCGCCTTTTGCCGGAGTGCACTAGGGCAAATCCTTTGTTGGCGAGCTTGCCGTAAGACACAATAGTCTTTGCCAGTCGCGGCGCCAAGTACACATCCGTGAGCGTCACTACCGCTCCAGCGCCGCGCGCAAGAACCTCGAGGCGCACGCTGCCGACACGCGTCAGGTGAAGCGACTCGCCGTCTGCCATTGCAATCTCGTGGCTGCAAGCCGTCGACTTAAGCAGCAGCGACTCGTTGTTGACAAGATGCCGGCTCGCGCCGCTATCGAGGATCCAGTCTCCTCGGCCGACGCCCGAGGCATCGGTCGCCGCAAGTACGAGGCCGCGCGTGCCGTTCGTGGCTCGTACTCCGTCGCTCGTCTTAAGCACGAAGCTGCATGAGTCGTCTATGGCTCGCTCTTCATCGCTTGCATTGGTCGCTGCGGCGTCCTTGCCGCGCTATCCCTTCTTCCTCCTGTTGCGCTTCTTCGTGGTCGCTCTGCGTTTCTCGGTTAGTGCAAGGATCACGCTGGAGCCTCCACCCTCCGCAGTTGTCTCGTCGTCGTGCACGACTCGCGCGCGACAGTCGGCTGCGATGTGTCCTGTTCGCCCACATCGGTAGCACGTGATCTCGCCCTTGGGTTTGCCTTCCACGTGCGCGGCGACGACCTCACGACCCACCGCGCTGCTGCCGTGCTCAATGGACTGCGCGAAGTGCGCCAGCTCCTAGGCATGGCGCAGGTAGTCGAGTCGCGTGGGTTCTTACTTGGAGCGCATCACGTTCACCAGCTCTGGCGAAGCGTGGTGGACGATGTTATTATGAACAAGCGAGTCGGCACCACCGCGTGCCTCGCTGACGGCGACCATGTACAGGAAGTGCTCGGCCCAGGTGCGTCGTGCGTCCTTCTTGGCCATGAATAACTTCATCGCCTGGCTTGCAGTGATTGACGTCTTGAACGTGCGCAGGAGCTGCTCCATGATGTACTCCAGTGTGGGTGACTGCGTCCACCAGGTATCGACCTGCTTGTGATAGTACCTCTCAGCCGTGCCGGTGAGAAAGTGCCCAAGCAGGTCGACCTTGACGTCTTCGGTCCATCCGAAACCACACGACGCTTCCGCGAGGCTCACCGCGCGTAGAAACGTACGCCCCCAGTCAAAGAATCCGCTCCCGAGTCCGCGGTACAGCTCCGTACCATCGAACTTGCGTATGTTCAACTTCCGCTGGCTTGCGGACGGCATCCCGTAGCCGTTGAGGCCTGGACGCACATAGGCTTGTGGCGGAGCGACTTGTTGCGGCGGCGGTAGCGCTGCATACTCCTGCGGAGGTGGCGCAGACGCTGGTGCGCGCTGCTGCAGCTGCGGTGCTCTGCGCGCGAGGTGGCTCGAGCAATGCGAATCGCGACGCGCCAAGATCAGTCGCGCGCTGGTACCCACGTGGCACTGGTGCCTTCTCCTCCGCGTCTCCGATCGCGTCAATCGTCATCGGTCGGCCGCGCATGTTGGCGCCGAGTCTCGAGGCGATCAGTACGCTCTCCACGGCCCTGAGCATGCGCTCCTCCTCGTCTCGCACTCTCTGCAACGACTCGAGGCTCGACAGTCGATCGGTGAGTGCGGCGAGCGTGGCGAGGATCTTATCGTCTCGCTTCCCGCTCTCGCGAGCGGTTCCATCATTGACGACTGCGGGTGCGGTAGGCGCACGCGCAGGCGAGCCGCGCCCAGGCGTGTCTCGCGGGATACCCCCTGGTGTCTTCGTAGTCGGTTCGGTGGTTGCGGCCATTGGGCTTATAACCTGTAGGCAAGATTCGTGTTGCGAGAAGGAAGTGTAAGGTGAAGAATAAGATTCTGTTGTATTTCCGTACTATGTCTCTCTTCTCTGCCATGCTCGCCAAAGCCCTCTGCTCCAGTCATCCATCTCACACGCATTCTGGCTCTACTCGGATCACTATCCTGCTTGTCACTCTGCATCCACCTTTTACGCACAGCGAGTTTGTGACATCAGGTTCCCAAATAAATCCCAAGTCACCGGCCGAACACTCCGATCACCGTTACGTACCCTTGCACCCATTTCCAACATTCCAACAAAAGGGTGCCGAGCTCGAAATTGCAAAAGCACAAACGCACTATCCCTAATGACATGTAGTGTTGAGTAGTCGCTTACCTGGGATTGCCGAAGACCGTGCATAAGCTTCAGTATTCAGCGACTTTGTTTGTGGTATCGGTAGAGCCGTACGACACACACGATATCAACAAAACGCGTGCAGCGTGAGTAGTTGTGTGGAATCGGACAAAAACAGATCAATCCTCGCCTTGACCCGGATTACCTCGGGACCCTCCATCAAAAGAGAGGAGGTAAAGTATTCATGATCCCTGCTCGAAAGGTCGTAAGTGCAACGAAGGATGTCTTATTAGAGCAGATGAGGGCATTAGCCCAAGCTGACATTACCTGCGCAAACCGTTTCCCGTCTTCTCCCATGTCGGACAGGTGGTTTAATTAAAGTAAAGGGGTGATCCTGTTTCATGTAATTAACCCTTATAACTTGGTAATTAGAATAGTATCAAAAGGTTACTAATTCTCGGAAATATTACTTTATAGGCTAGTCTTTACTAACACTCACCGATTGGCTGATATGGGTCACCATGTCAGCCAGCTCCAGCAGTCCAATCGACGATGGACGGGCGCAATGCGTGTTAAGCAAGACTTTATAGTGCATTTTTGTCAATTAGTATGATTAAGTTAAGACTAAAACATAGATTAATGATGAGGACTTGATCATGTGTTTTAAATCATTTTACTTTTATCAGAAACTTGTCAATTCATAGCTGCTTTCCCTTCCTCTACCGAGTTTACAGAGGCGGCAATGCACTATTCATGCAGCTTTTGGTGATTGTAGCTTCACCCTGGATGTCCAGTGTGTTTATCCAGTGCCCCGTTGCAAATTGCTAAACCTTTGAAAAGATTGGCGGAATATAGTCTTGGTGCTTGCGGTGTGCACCTCCTGCGATAAAGACGAATTTCCCTTGCAGCGAGGCGCTCAAGCTATATGACATCAATTTTTACTGAAACGACAAAGTATTACAGCTCTCGAGCTACCGGGAAGACCGTAGCTTGAGCTCCAGGTAAATTAGCGCCTAAATTCACATATTGCTTGATCACAACCCAGAACGTGGGCACGATTTCCCGGAGGTCCAGTCCAAACACTCAGGCATTCAAGTCGGCCTCCAAGAAGGTGCCAAGCCATCTCAACTGATCAAGGATAAACGCCCAGTGACGAATTACAAGGGCACGTCCAAAAAATATGACTTTCCCTATCTGGACCAGCAGCTGCGCACTCGGAGACGGGGCACGATGGATCTTTCTTAGCCCTCTTACAGCGCAGAGAGATGTTACATTTCAGCCGATACAGCAGCTGATAGTTAATCGGGAAGGACGCACGTATTCGTCAAAAAACCTCTCATGCGATCAACGTTGCAGCTTCTAAAATCACATTAAAAGTCACTTTTGATACTCTCTTTATAAAAAGTCTAGTTTTTTCATCATGGCGGCGCCAAGAGATTAGCTACTTCAGCTACCTTCGTTGCAGCACCCACCGTTGACGTCCATTCAACATGTAGATAACGCGCGTGAGCGCCGGGGCGCGCTAAGAAGGACAGGAGTCCCACTAGCGCAAGACATGGCTACATCACATGCATCCATCGACCATACCGGTTGCACTCAAATTCCTTGACCGTATCAAAGTTTCTCAACGAAGCACCTTTACTAGCAAAATGCCAATCACAAAACTGGTGCGCCTTTGTTAAATACGCAATAAAAGATCCAGGTTATAGAGCCCGATATACCAGGGACGGGGATTTGTTAAAAAGGGAGAGACAGAAGTACTCAAAATGCCGTCTCGTCGCCATAGACTGGGTTGCCATATCACGCATGGGAGAAAACAAGACAACGCCAATTTACAGTATCGTTCAAGGTAATGCATCATCAAGGTTAGTTCAATCTTATCGCAAAGCGGCTCCAGTTAAGAAATATACCTCACCCTGTCTATCTCGCGGCCATGACATATTCATGAGCGTGGCTTGGACCAGCAACAGGTTGTCGAATAGCTTCAAAGCCGCTATTTAAGCTCGCGTACTAGCGTGATTTTGTTACAAACTACCCGCCAAACATCAATTGTGGCACTAACGTCGTCATTAATGGTGAACGATGCACTCGATGTAAACGTGACCTCCCTAACTGCGCCTCGGCGGGCATATCGAGCAGCAAAAATTATTAAATGTCGGATCCGGTTGTCAAAAGAGTTTTTCGATGCCGACGGTGCTTGCCTTCCGTCCAACAAGGCGCAATGTAAGCCGACCCTACCCTGTACACCCCCATAAATGATAACCAACCATTACGTCTCTCGAAGAAACAGCAGATACCCAATTCCAACTGCTGATGCCGCTATAGTCATCGAATCTGTCTAATTTCTGACATCCGCTAGTCCCCTCTGCTGGTAGGTAAAGTAGCATCCTCGGAAGGGACCCTAGGACGTGACCGCTTGCCGTCCCAGACGCTTTACACAAAAAGACTAGTGAAGTGGTGCAGCCGGGTAAGTACCGCTTGAGGAGGCCAACTGTAGCGGAGCTACACATCTCCTTAAGTCAGAGGAAGATTTAACGCTCTGCGAGCAACTTAGTTCTAAAGAATAAACGACTTTACGATTCAACAAGCTTTACAGCTTCAGATCCCTGTTTCGGGCGACCTAACGATTCAGTGAATCGACAGCACTCAGTGCTCAAGAGTAGCTACCTCAAGGAGGTGTTGCTAACTCTTAGTGATCAGTTATCAACGATCGAGACGGCTCGCCAGCCACGTGTCCTTTAGATCAAAATGGGAACTGATTTTTTTGTTAAAGCCTATAGAATATCGTAATCCTACTCAAAGATCTTTCGTACCTAATGGCTGACACTCGTCAGCCCCTACAAACCAATAAGATATTCTATCTCACCTTCACAAAGGGATACCCTCAGGTGTGTAACACCTCTGGTACAAAGTCCCATCATTTCGTGCAACCCTGTTACACCCTCCCCCACCAGACTGACGTTTACCAAAACGTCAATCGAACTCGTGTTCCTAAGCGAGATCGATGCGCGTACGGTAAACCTAACGGTAACGTACGCTTTAGCACGATGTCCTCATCACTAAACGAGTCAAAGACTCTGTAAGACTACCTCGGAATAGAGGAGGCAGTGGACTATGGTAGCGATACCAGTGTCAACGGCGATACAGGGACAATGTCCGGCTCACTGATGCCTGAGGCACAACCTTCGAACACCCCAAAATTCGTTGTCTGAACGTAGAGATGCGTGCACGCCACTAGCGCAGCATTCAGCATCTGGTTCTGATGAAACTATCATCACGAACCCGCTCGATGAGCAACTACAACTTCTTGTCCAACAAGAAGAAAATGCTCAGCGTCATGTACAAATGGTTGCAACCCTTGAACGCCTGTGTGACTATGTGTTCACTCCACCCATTGTGAAGGAACGTCTACGTCAAGCGGCCGGCCAAACATTGGCAACGTGGGTCATTGGCCATGGGCCTAAGACTCCTGAGGAGGTGGTGAGCTGCCAGGCACTTCGTGAGCGGGTCCTAGAGCCGCATATAGACTCAAATTTAACACAAGGCACGCCTTGACATGCAAGCACGTAGCGCACCGGTTCCACCGATCAAGGGTATACCCATTCTCTTGTTCGCAGGCGAGACAGTGAGCGAAGAAGACGATGCCTTCGCTCACTGGGTGCACCATGTGCGTCGCCTGAGCAACGTTTTTGCTCTAAGGGCTAGTGCCCATGCGGCTGATGTGCGTCTCGAACGCAAGCTTCGGTATGATTATGCCAAGCTTAAGACCAGAGGCCAAATGCGCAAGCGCACGCGCTATGCTTCGGCTACTAAGGTAGCCGCGAGTGCTGGTCAGTCTGTGGCCAACAACCCGACCACCCACACCACTAGTGGTGGGGAGCGTCCTCGGTCTCGAGATGACCAAGGCCACGATTCTCAAAAGCATCCAAAGCATAAGGGCAGTCTTGCCGAAGGGGTATCTCGACCTCCCATGAGTTTTTAGACTCAGGATACCCTCGCCACTTTACCAGGTACTGGTATTGGCCCTGACGACGACGTAGTTTCAGTTGTCTCTCAACTTGAAGTTGACGACACCCACTCATCGAGCAAAGTCGGTGGCGGCCGGTGTACCGGTGGAGGCCCACGAGAAATTGTTATTCGAAGTGAAGGGTCTTCAAGAGACCTTGGGTAAGACCCAGTGCATGCTGGATGCGATGCAAAGCTGCATTCAGGCGATGGAGCAAGCTCAAACTCGGAGCGAGGCTCAGTTGGACTTGCTGATTCGTCTACAGCAATCCGTGGCAATGCCCTTGACGTCGGAGCAAGCGCCTCCAATTTCACATGGGAAGGATTTCGTTACGGATTAAGTAAGCCTACGTAGAACACTGGATGTGTGCGCAATTTGCGCAGAAGGTTTAGCGTATACGCAAGTCCCTTCTTGGCAGTGACCGTAAATGGTCCAACAAAGCGTGGCCGCAACTTTGTCTTAAAGACCGCAGACACTACATTTGTCGGTAAATTTCTTAGCATTGAGTACTACTTGGTCTCCGACCTCATAACGTTCAATGCATTTTCTGCCTTTGGCATCAGCTTGTTGTTTTGTTTATCTTGGCTATCAGCCATTGTGTCACGCACATGTCTTAAGACATTTAATCGCGTTGCGAGAAACTCGCCTACCTGTTTTTGAACAGGAGCAGGGCTGATATCAGCAAGCCGATCGGCGACCTCTCCCCCACCAAGCCCTGAATCACGTAGTGTTAGCGTAAACGGAACGCGAGGGTTAGTGAGATTGTTTATATAGAACAAAGTAAAGCCTTTTGAGGCATGAACAGCGTTATTCAATGCAAACTCAACAACAGGGAGTATTGGCTCCAACGCCTGGGCGTATCAGCACAAACACTGCGCAAAATGCCATTAATGACGCGGTTAAAACGATCAGTTTGACCGTCGGTCTGCGGATGATTCGCTGTGGACATGTCCAACCGAGTGCCCAGCACCTTGAAGATAGACTTTCAATTCTTTCGGTAGGCCAAACACAAAATCCTTGCTCATGGACTCCCAACAACCAGTGGGTACTGGCAAACTAGCCAGCGGCGCCGCCGCATGTGCTGAGGGATAACTTGTTGACACGTTTCGCACGTACGCACATAGGTGCTCACCCACTTATAGGGTTTGGGCTACCAAAAAATTTGGCTCACCGAGTTATAAGTCTTCTTACGACCGAGATGACCACTTAAAGCAGTATCATGTGCCTCATAAAGGATTCGATACTTTAATAACTCTCATGAGGTACAGCGATACGAGGGTTACCCTCAATGTCCGCGCGATAGCACAACAGACCATTGTCGGTTGAATATCGATGTAGTTTCGCACGTATACGTGCCGACAATTCTATGTCCAAGTATTTAAACTCATCGCCCCCAAGAGCACGTAGCAAAGCTAAACACTGTTCGTCCTTGGCATAAGCCGAACGGATTAAGTCAGGGACTGACGACGACAGAGTCGTAACATGAGCAAGCTCATAGTCAGGTCGGCACGATAGCGCATCAGCCAAAGCATTTTGCTTACCCGGCTTGTACTTCACCTCGAAGTTATATTCGGCAAAGAAGGAAAGCCAACGAGCCATTCTTTTTAAGAGATAAGGCGACTGTGTCGCAGTGCGTAATGACGCATGATCTGTTTCGATCACAAACGGCCTTGAGCCAAGCAAATGTACTCTGAATTTGACAAGAGCGTACTTTATAGCAAGCAGCTCTTTGTCATGAACTGGATAGTTCTTTTCAACAGCTTTCAGCTGCCGAGACTCGAATGCGATGACGCGTTCGCGTCCGTCGACATCTGTTTGTAACAGAGCACTGCCAATGGCAAAGTCAGATGCGTCACGGACGACACTGAAAGGCCGATCAGGATCGGGCAAAGCCAATATTGGCGCATGAAGGAGACTCTCCCCAACTGCTTCAAAAGCCTCATGTTCGGTGTTACCCCAACACCAATCCACATCTTTTAAGGAGATTGTACAACGGCCGAGCCATATCTGCGTAATTCGCACTGTACTTATGTAAGTAATTGGCAAGACCAAGCCACTTACGCAAGTCCTTTTGGTTCTTGGGAACCGGCCAATCGACTATGGCTTTCACCTTAGCGGGATCCGCTCGAAGGCCTTGCTTCCCAATGAAGCATACTAAAAAGGGAATCTCTTCTGCACCAATGATGCAATAAGATGCGTTAGCATACAACTTATTCGTCCGCATGCACTCGAGCACCGCTCGTAAATGATCAATGTGGTTATCCACATCTGATCGCCCATTCATTGCACGACTATGGACAAAAATGTCATCAAAGTACGTTTGTGCATAGCCTTGATAAGGTCTGAATAGTTGCGATACCAGCCGGTTAAACGTAGCAGGGGCGTTAGATAGCCCTTGTGGCATAACGAGCCACTCCCAGATCATACCGCTCGGAGTACTCACCGCTGTAAGCGGAATATCACTTGCTCGCACGAGCAGTTGGTAATAACCATCGACTAAGTCGAGTGCACTGTACATGCTAAAATATCCCAAAGTGTTCTGATGAACATCCTTTCTAGGAATAGGCGTCTGCGCCGGTATAGTGGCTGCATTAAGCTTATTATAAGCACTTCACAATACGCCACTTGCCATTTGGCTTTTTGACACAAAATGTCGGTGTTGAATAAGGAGATTTGCTCTCACGAACCATTCCAGCCGCGTGCTTAGCACGAAAGAAATCGTCAATGACGTCACACTATTCTTTAGGCAAGGGCCACTGCCGTGTTACGCAGTATTTAGTTCCAGGAACCAAGTCAATCTCATGACGTACACCTCTATCGGGAGGTAAGGCAGAAGGTGGGTTGTGACACACCACATCTTGAAATTCCTTAACTAAAGGATAGAACGGATCCAAAGGATCTTTAAGGATGGAGGATCCGCTTCGTGCACTAAGTGCCGCCTTTGTATCCTCTAGTACAGACTCATTTATTAACGAGGAAGAGTTCAACTCAGTATCAGGTCTAATGACTGCTTATTCGGATAATTCTCCTGCCTTCAAGGCCTGGCTAAACTCGCCATCAGAAATTTCATCTAGCTCACAAAGAGCGTCCAAAGATGGAATGGTTTCAAGGAAAACACTGCCATTAACATGACCAGTCACTCCATTAACAAGTGTGTATAGTGTACTACTATTATTACTATGTGACTGTGTGGACGCCTGGCGCTTTACAGTTGTTACCCGGCGTCTCGATTGTCTCTTCGAGACCTCACACCTCTTAGGGGTCGGGACAATATTATCCCCGTGGTTACTACCAACCATAGTACGCTCTATACAAGAGCTTATGTCTTGACCGACATCCGGTGAAGTGTTACATACCTCGAACACTTCACCCAGTAAATTAAAACTTGCCAATCCATGTGTACTATGCGGGCCAAGCCCTAAATTTAACGGCGTCTCGCCAACATTTTGTTTACTGACATTAGGTGTGGTGCCCTCACGGCCGCCCACATTATACTGCGTTTCGCCAACAACGCCATTACCGACGTTAAGCGTGGTGCCTTCACGGCCGCCCAAACTAAATGGCGTATCGCCAACAATATCTATGCTGACATTAGGTGCGGTGCCTTCACGGACGCCCACACTAAATGGCATATGGCCAACAATGTCATTACCGACATTAAGTGCGGTGCTCTCACGGCCGGCCGCACTCGGTGTAGTTTCACGTGCCACCACACACACATCAAAGGAATCACATAATTGAACACTCAGCCCTAGGCCAACCATGCTTTCAGCATACAGTGACTCGTTATCACAACGAGTAAAACTCAACGGAGTACGTTTCGTTCCACTAATTTTAAACGAGCTAGGCTCGAAACTTATGTTTGTAACATTGGAGTTAGATAGGTCAAACATACCAATATCCAGCACGTTATCATCTTCTGTCAAATACTCGCGCCAATATCGCTTCTGTTGCCTAGCAAAGGTGGGTTCATGACTCCTTAAAACTTCGCTAGGAACATTGCGCGCAGCGCCTAAGGTCTTAGACCTCCAATCAATCCATGGCTCATGGCGTATAAGCCAAGCCATACCCAGAATGAGATCATTTCCCGAGTCCATGTCTAGGACAAGACAGCGCTCAATACTGTTAAAGACTAGAAACTTTATACCTAAGTTCAATGGAACTATAGGCACAGTTACGCGACTTCCGGTCGATAAACGAACTGTGATAGAATTACCCCTCATGCGCTGTAAGCGCCTCAGCATAACTCTGACTCCCCTCAAGGGAACGGCGTTAGGCAAAATTGCAAGACGCTCCAGAATCGATCAATATCGACCAAGGCTTCTTAAAGACCTTAATTTTCGCCTCGGCGACCAACAAGCCAGACTTGTATCCACGCACCATACCCGTGGGTATGATACTCTTTGGGGATAAGTCCTGCCTTCCTTTACCCTTTAAAAATGTAACAGAGCCTAATTCTTCCCCAGTAGGGCGCCCCGCGCCTACTGGGTGTCGGCATTTCCCCGTGCCATACTAGACTTCTGACTAGGGGTAGAGTGTTGGCTTGTAGCCTGGCGTTTCTTACACAAAGGGCAACCAGGCCGCAAGTGTTTAGTGCCTCTGTACGTAAAACTTCGTCGTACGACGTGTTGCTGCTCAGCAGCTTGAAGCTCAGCTTCACCTCCATCTTCAGCACAGCTGAGATCCATCGGTTCCGGCCTATTATAGGTAGTGATACCCGAAGAGTTTGCTCTCACAAAGCGAGGATTTGACCCATTCCAACCAAGTCTGGCCGACTTGAAGTTATGCTCATCATTCTTTGCAAGTCGCACTGCCTCTTCCAAAGTAAAAGAGTGAACTCGAAAAACCTCGGTTCTGGCAATGCCAGTACGTAGACCTTCCGTGAATATAGTCACATGGACTGCCTCAGGCAGAGGGTCAGACTGCATTGCAGCCATGAGCGTTAGCAGCTCTTGGACATAGTCCGATTATTCATTCCGACCCTGGCAGGTAGAAAGAAAGCGTTAACGCACGCGGTAAGCCTGGTTAGGTGGTGAGAACACCTGTACTAATTGTGACTTAGGCGACTCCCATTTGGGATACGCTATGTCCACCGACGTGTTACACGTCAAGGCCCACTCTCTGGCTCTTCCATCAGGCTTCGAGATAGCCAGCGAGACCTGTAGATGGTCAAGCGAGATCCGGCCAGATCTCATGGCAATCTCAATCTCACGGATCCAGAGGATGATATTCTCACCCTCCTTACCGGAGTAGGTTTTCACTTTCACTCTAAGTGGACGTGGCCTAGCCTCTTCGTCTGGTACAGACACGTGGCGTGTAGGCATAGCCGACGCTACTTGG